AAAAAAAAAAAAAAAAAAAAAAGAGAGAGAAATTGAAAGGCCAGAATTTGTTTTCGGGATTTGTATAGATTTCGAATATAATTAGGACACTTCCCATATAATTATACATCCAAAAAAATCTTTATGTAACCTAATTACGTTACGAAACAAGCGTAATTTTTTTAACTTATTTATTCAGCTCAATCATCAAAAATAAAAAGTCTTCGCATTTACAAAAACGAAATTTAAAATTGGGCAAAATACGGCTTTATACCGATTTAAGTAACAACAGCTTTAACTGAAAAAAAAAAAATGACTTGTAGAGAAGAAACAACAAACCTCAATATATCAAAAAATGCCTGGTAGAAAAGAAACACAAGCTCAATATATCTAACTTTCTGGAGGTGGCACCAAATCACTCTGATGAGACCAGTACTTATAGTATTTAGCAAGCATAGGTAGATCAATCGACTCAATCTCACCCGTACGAACCCAGTACAAGAACCTCGACTCGGAGCAAACACCATCCCATCCGGGTAGTTTAACCAACCGACTGGAATAAGCCGATCATCTTCATACAAAAACACCTCTTCTTCAAATCTCCACATTTCCTTCTCCAAACCGACGCTAAACGCCTTCCTCCACACCCACGTCTCCGGAATCATCTCCCACACGTCCCACGACAATCTCCTGAGCGCGACCACAAGCGTCAAATTCTTCCCTCCCGACACTAAAAACTTGTTCTCCCCCAAATGACCCAAAGGCACGGGAACCCGCGACTCGGTCAAAACCTCGGTTTCCGCATGGAGGGTCAAAACAGTCGAACCCCCATCATATGGGACCAAGTGCACGAAACGGTTGACATCGGGGGACCCCTCTTCACCTCACATGACAGACGGTCCATGCGCACGTCCAAGGGGGGTGGATGGTTCAGATATCCCACATCGGTTGTGAAGGGGAACGAAGCATGCCATATAAGTGGCTGTGGATACCTTCACTAGTGTGACGCGTTTTGGTGAGTTAGTCTCCCAAAGGCAAAACCGTGCGGGTGAGCGTGCTCAAAGCGGATAATATCGCACTACGGGTTAAGATGCTGGGCTGTTACATGCCTCCACAAGCCGTCGTAGGAACCGACGGTCAATATATCACACTCGTAGGGTACGTCTGGTTGGTCGAAAAAGTATGTATTTTATATATTTATTAGCGTATATTTAAATGCTTAATTTTTTTGCACTTATATGTTTTTTTACTTATTGATTTATTAAATGGATTCAGGTGTTTTGATATATTTATGATTTATTTCAGGTATTGGAATAATTATGAATAATGACCAAGTTATTAAAGATTGGGCCCAAGGCAATATGTACTTAAAGATTATTTGGGCTAAAAATACAATGAAATGACTTGGGAAGATTGGAGTTTTATTTTCGCAGCCACCAAGGAGAATGACTTGCGTGGGGGAAAGGTTTGCAATTGCTGGGACTAATTTGGTTTAGATGGGCATTATTTTGTGGGAAGACTTCAGGAAAAGAAACTCACGCACATCAATTGAAAAAGAGCAGCAGCCGCCAGAAAAACAAAAAGAAAAAAGTCGCAAGCAGACAGAGAACAGAGACAGGAAAGCCGACGGAAGTGGAAGGAGGTCGAACCCGCACACGAAAGGAGATAATCTTATTCCTTTTCTTTTATTATATATTATGTTAAAGTAATTTTTATTTCTAAGTCCGGGAAAGTCGAACCCTACGTACTTAATGATGTTAATTGATTTTTGTGGTTGATAATTTAAATATCTTTTTTTAATTGTTTGTGTTATTTTGAAAAATTAACCATGACGTTTGGTCTTATTTAGATTGATTACCTAGATTAGGCTTTTCATATCTATAGTGGAACTAGACCTTCAATATGTAATTTGATATAGGATATTATACCCGCAAGGGTAAACTGGTCTGGTGAACCGGTCGAAGGGGTTGTACCGCGAGGAAGCCGAACCAATTTAGTGGTAATCGAGTAAGATGATAATGGTCGAACACCTTGAAGATAAGACCTGGAAGACTCTAGGACAGACAACATATCACAAGTAGTCGAACGATCGACCAGTCGAGCAGTCGAGTCGACCTCAATAGATCGACCACTGTATGGATTGTTAGTATTCTGGAGATCGACCTAGTCACAAGCGCGTGTAAGAGTCTCTAACGGAATTTCATGGAAATATTCAGAGGAATAATCATCCCATGTGTAGAGGACACGTGGCGAGAATGCATTGGTTGATAGCGACAACCACCTCTGACACCACCTCTGACATGCACGCGGCACGTCAGAGTACGGACGGGCAGCTGGGGCAGCAGCTCACCAAATCCGGGCAGCCTTTAGGTCAGGTATCTCACCCCTATATAAGTGAGGGTGAGCTTTCTTCCTTAACGGGATTTCCATTATTCTACTCAAACATACATATACTTACTTAAGCATCAGAGGCTCTTCACCAGGACAACCCCATGGTGTGAGAGTTGTTTGCAGGTTTTTGGCGTTCCACGGGCGAGGACGAGAGACAATTTATTCCAAACCGGCCAGGACGCTTACACTTGAATTATTGGTACCGTCTGTGGGGACCTTTCGTTCAAAAAGCGGTGTTCAGAGTTGTTAAGCTTGGTAGCTATGGCAGACGGAATTCTCAGAACCAACTTACAATCGTCGTTCGATGATGCTTGGACGACGACTAGGCCGTTGGGACAGTCCCCTCCTCCAGGTTTCTCTGGCCCTTCGCAAACGCCGGTCACTCCCACGCCTGTTCTTCAAGGTGTGGTGGTACTAGGGGCGGTTCCTGGAGGAGGCACGGGCTCCAGTCGCGCCCAGGAAGCTCGTGTAGCAACCGTGGCGGCGATGCCACCGCCGCCTCAGCCAAATCCGGTAGGAGCACAACCAAGAGGACCGGCGGTGGAAAGAGGAGCACCAACGCAGGCGGAGATTCAGGTTCCCGCTCAGAAAATGGTGATGATGACGAGGGAGGAGATTCAAAGGATGATGGCCAACGTGGCAGCGCAAGCGGTGCATCAGGTTACTCACAAAACATCCCAGGCTACCACTGCGCTGACGATGGTGGTCAGAACTCAGGAGGAGGATGAGTCTAGCTATGGAGGTGGAGGAGATGTGAGGGATCGTGCGATGAAGAGGATGGCGGAGCAGTTGCAGGACAAGGTCGAAAGGAGGCAGGACAGGAGGGGTCGAGGACACCCTTTCTCGAGGGAGATTTTGACTGCACCTTTGACGAACAATTTCTGGGAGACCAACTTGGTGTTTCAAGGGGTAAACCAGAGTGGGGGAGGGGGGGGGACTAGATGATATAGGATATTATACCCGCAAGGGTAAACCGGTCTGCTGAATCGGTTGAAGGGGTTGTACCGCGAGGAAGCTGAACCAATCTAGTGGTAATCGAGCAAGATGATGATGTTCGAACACCTTAAAGATAAGACTGGAAAACTCTAGGACAAACCGCGTATCACAAGTAGTCGAAGGATCAACCAGTCGAGCAGTCGAGTCGACCTCAATAGATTGACCACTGTATGGATTGTCAGTATTCTGGAGATCGACCTAGTCACAGGCGTGTGTAAGAGCCTCTGACGGAATTTCAGGAGAATATTAAGAGGAACAATTATCTCATGTGCAGAGGACACGTGGCGAGAATGCATTGGTTGATAGCGACAACCACCTCTGACACCACCTCTGACATGTGTGCAGCACGTCATAATACGGACGGGCAGCTGGGGCAGCCAGCTCACCAAATCCGGGCAACCTTTAGGTCAGGTATCTCACCCCTATATAAGTGGGGGTGAGCTTTTCTTCCTTAACACGATTTCTATTATTCTACTCAAACATACACATACTTACTTAAGTATCGGAGACTCTTCACCGGGACAATCCTGTTGGGTTCGATATACCGTACGGAACAGAGTTTACAGCGAAATTTAAAATTTTTATAAGTATTTATCTTATAAATACTTATTCCGTACATAAGTATAACGATATTACGAATAAGCATCATTTAAAATCTAGTAACTTTTACTAATTTTGGTTTGATATGTAATTTATAAAAATTACCTTTGTTCTTGAACTCCTTCAAAACCGACTATGTATGAGGAAATCAATTCCCGGTTTGGTAGCGATCACTTCTTGTGGTTACTCACTTTAGGAATCCAAATGTCTTCCCTCTAATCGTATCCACCTTTTGAAGTCCGGTTCCGACAATAGTTCCTTCGCTAGTAGAAACTACTCGGTTTTTCAATAAGTATAGAATATATATTTATAAGGAAATTTTTCAAGAACAATTTCTTGTATTATCACTCAAATCTTTGAATGAATTTTTCTCTTGGAAGAATTTTGCTCAAAACTTAGCAATTAATGTGCAAACATTTTGCACCTATTTATACTAAACATTTTAGCATAAAATAATCAATATTTGATATATTTTATTTTAAATAAAATCAGATTTTATTTAAATAATCATACCAAATATTGACTTTTAATTAATAATATGATTGGTTTATAACCACCATCAATCATTATTATTGTATTAATAAAAATAAGATTAATTATGTGGATTAGTTAACAACTCTTAACCACCATAATTAATTTATTCTTATTATTATTTAATCTTCAATCATATTAAAGATAAATAATAAAATAATAATTCTTGAAAACATTTTTCAAGACTTTATTATTTTAATCTATTCTTCCATTTCCTTATTTAATAATCTTATTATTATTTGGATTTGAAATTTAAAATCCAATTTTAAATTCCAACTATTAATTAGTAATTCTATTAATTACTAAATTAATATCCAAAATTCATTTAATCAATCTAATTGATTAATTTAATATATTCCTTTAATTGATATCTAATCAAATTAGATTTGTCAATTAATTCTAACTCTTTAGAAATACTATTTGAATTTTACCTTCATTCAAAAATTGGTGTGACCTTTTAGGTTCACAATTAATACTAGTAGTGGGTTTACAACTCTTTGTAATTTGAGTTATTCATATTAACTCTTATTCTTGAATTAACTCTTTAATTCAAGAACCCACATATCATGGGAACATCTAGCAAGTAGCATGAATCTAGTATTAAGTGAATAGCGAGTAAACCTATTTTGATTACAAGTTCATACATGTAAAATCCTTTCGACATCCAATTTCCCGATTAAATCTTTGGGTATGATTTTGTCGAAACCCAAATTGATTTAATAACTATGATTCCATTTCAAGTTTAGTAATTCTTTTATGAATCTCTATTCATCCCGCCTTGGCCAAGGACTTTGAATTACTAATTATGAAACACATAGGAAATTCACTTATCTTCATAAGTGTCGAATCCTTTGTTGGCCACTGACAAACTTCCATACATATTAATATAATACCCAAAATATCCCTTTATACAATTGTGCTAGCAATCAAAAGGATAAATCAAAGTAAAATATAATATGCACAAAGTTACCATCGTGCCTCAAGTCTAAGGATTAATCATGTACTATTGTAACATGAAAATTCTTATTCGACATGATAAACTTTCATTAAGAATTTTCATACGGTCATGTTCAGTGAACTTGTTCTCTAACAAGCACCCACATATATGTATTTGCGTCCCACGCTAATGTTGATGGAATGCAACATTCTTATCCAATAAGCATACATACTATGTGCAAGTCTTTTCCGGATTTATTCGATATCCCATCTCGAAATATCCAACGACTTGGAACTGTATTTAAGATCACAGCTTTCAAGATATGTTCCATGATCACCATCTCTATGCGTAACCATATCTTATAGTTATAAGTGATCTAGGGATTTTATCTTAAGTGCAAATATATGATAAATGCTTACTCTTAAAATAAAGTAATGCCTTATTATTTAATATAATTCCAATAGATTGTATTTACAAGTAGAATACGTCCAATCTGATTGGAACGCCGAGTATACTACTCCAACAAATCCCTGGTATGAGAGTTGTTTGTAGGTTTCCGGCGTTCCACCGGCGAGGACGAGAGGCGATCTATTCCAAACCGGCCAGGACGCTCACACTTGCATTATAATTGTTGTTGCGTTTAGTTCATAAGAGGCCACCGGAAGACGATAATTACCGGAGAAAACACGGCCTATTTAAGTGAGCGAACACGGTTGAGTTCACTACTTAGTATAGCCTATGTTTCTAATTCGTAAAACGGTTAATTGTATTAAATCTTGAAAAAGTCTTTCTGGACTGTACAATAAGTCAGGTTTAATCGTAGAGCGTCTCGCGGTTAAATTAAATTCGGGTAGCATATTGTGTTGTTACCTAGGGCTAGTAATTTCATAAGATAGCGAGATTTGATACCAAAGTTAGTTAGAAAAGTCAGTCGAGGTTGTAGATGGAACCGTGAACTAGAAAAATCTCTTACTTTTTTTATTTATTTTTATTTTTCTTTATTTAGATTTTATTTATTTCATTAGAATTTTAATTATTTTAGTTATTAAATCAATCCCCCCTCTTTATCGCTTTTTATAGTTTCAACTAATACGAAAATTTCACAGTTTGATTCACACTCCTCGTGGGATCGACCCTTACTTGCCACGACTACTAGTTAGTAGAGGTTAGTCGAGAAAAAATTATAAATTATAATTTGTCGCGTTGCGACCCGCGGTCAACGTCCCCGGCCGATATGGCATCGAACGTTAATTTGACACATTTTGCTAATTTAATGTACACTTGCACCACTTTGTACTCCGTAGAGGCCGCCGCATATGTCAAACAAGTGTTCCTACTAGAGTTATATCTACCGAAATGCGGAGGGAGGTAGAGGTACCCGATGGTACCAGGATTCAAGATGCGGAGAGTAGAGGGATCGAAATCAAACAGTATCAGCACCACAACAAGGCCGTGAGAACTAGACAAGATATGTGGGCCTGATCTGTAGCGGGCCCGGGACACTCGTATTCTGCAAGAGGAGCCCAGTGGCCGCACGATGGAGGTGCAAGCGTGTGAAGTCACGAGAGCGGATCAAATGGGCCCACTTGCAGCAGACGAGCCTTGCCGAGTTACGGATATCACGAGAGGTGAGACAAATGAGGATGTCGAATAGCAAATCTTCGGTAAGGGACTCCATGTTTGAAGTACGATTGCATCTCGCCATCTGTGTAGCAAAATGAAAATTAAATTTTTTCAGGAAACTGTCTAAATTACCTTAATTTTGAAAAGAAACAAAACATTTTGTCAATACACTATTCCACCTTTAATGCCCGGTTTCAACTTAAATCAATTCGTCCTAAAGTTTCGTATACTATCACTTTTGGTACTAAATCGTTAACTATTTCAACAAATCATAATACCGTTTTGAAACTATTGACTGGGCCTGCCCAATAGTAATTTCAGTTTCATCATATCACCTCGAGGTTCGTCCAATTGTTTGTGAAGTTTTTTAATTTTCCGCATTAAAGTTGACTGAATTCTGCGCTAGGCGCTCAACCATCGCCTAATACCTAGAGCGTTTAGGCGGGATCGAGTCGACTCCTAGGCGAGGCCTAGAAATCAAGATTAAATACCTTATTTATTTTCACTATCTATAAAATAAAAGTATTTCAGTTTATAATAAATCAACATATCTAAGTTCAAATAATAATATTAATATATTATAAAAAAAACATGATAACAAAATAATATAATTAATATTTAAAAATATTAGAATAAATTGAAAAAAAATTCCGCCAAGCCTGCCTAGGTGGCGCCAAAGTCCGCCTAGACACTGTCAAGTCGTCTGGCCGCCGAGCCCGCCTAAGAGCGCCTAGGTCCGCCTGGCCGATTTCTTCAGCAGATTTATGCAAATCACATGCGGCCAGGAAGCGCTTAGGCCGACTTTTAGAACAGAGAATTCTACTTACCGAGGATCCCGACATTTGGAATTTTATAAAAAAAATATATGAATAGAAACCTTTTTTTTTTTTTTTCTTGAGGATCCTTAATTTTGTCTTTGATTTGGTTCGCCGGCAATATGCTTTTGATAAGCTTTTCTTACGTTAAATCTCAAGAAAGATATGTGGGAGCAATATTGAAATATTCGACTGAACTTCTTTTCAATTAATGTTTGACTTTAATATCTAAAGTTTCAGCCAAAAAAATAAATAAAAAAAAAAAATCTACCAAACTTTCAACAAAAAAATATTCACTATCATTGCTTTTGATAAGCTTTTCTTGCATTAAATCTCAAGAAAGATATGTGGTAGCAATTTTGAGATATTCGAGTGAACTTCTTTTCAATTAATGTTGACTTTAATTTCTAAAGTTTCAACCAAACTTTCAACAAAAAGAAAATATTTACTAACATTGCTTTTGATAAGCTTTTCCTGCGTTAAATCTCAAGAAAGATATGTAGTTGCAATATTGAGATATTCCATTGAACTTCTTTTCAATTAATGTTGACTTTAATTTATAAAGTTTCAACCAAAAAATAAATACATAAATAAATAATTCTACCAACATTTCGATTGACAAGCTTTCGTTGTGGTGAGGCGTGCTTGTTTACAAATCAATTCGATCAAAATGAGTTTTTTTTTTTTTTTATTAATCAGAGTTAACTTTTGAAAGACGGTGTGATTAGTTGTTATTAAGATTTTTTTTTTCCAACGGCATAAACATACTCATTAAAGAAATGCCAAAAAGGCAATGTATGTTTATTGTGTTCTTATACATACTTTCGTGTGTTTTGTGCTTTAATTTAGTATTTTTAGGTTCATTTTAGTGTCGACTGTTCATGTGTGATTTTACACCATATTCATATAGTATCTAGAGCTTATTTGTTGCATTATCGGTGTATAAATTGCATATTTGTGCTTTAATTCTATATTTGTTGGAAAGGTATTACACGTGCGTGTTTTGTAGATATTTCCACATATTTGTAGAGTTTTGGCTATTGGAGGAGCATGGTGAGTGTCTAAGACTCCCGGGATGATGATAGATCGATGCACGGATGAGAAAAATGGAAGAAACGAGCAAAACGGACAAAAACGTGCATGTCGGGGTGTGACACGGGCAGTGACATGACCAACCAGCCCGTGTCAGAGCCCATGTCACCTCTCATGAATGCGACACGACCCGTGACACGACCTGTTACACGGGCGTGTCAGGTCGTGTCGCGACGCAGACAGTTTTTAATCCTTTGCCTTTTTCACTTAGGAAAGGACTTTCGGACATATAAAAAGACATATTTACCTGATTTTGAACCCTAGAACGTGATTACGCAAGGAGAGAGTCAGAGAACACGCAAGAGAAGCAATTGGGAAGAAGAGAAGATCGACGACAAGCTTACTAGTTTTTCTTTCTATCTTTTGAACTTGTCTTCTCATGTTGATTTTGAATATGTCTATGTATTTGATTTCAAACATGAGTAGCTAAACTTCTTTGATTTTAAGACATGGTAGTAGATTAATAGTTTGGGATTTTTGGATGATTTATCATAGTTGATTGTTTTCTTTTGAACCCTATTCAAATATTTTGTTCTTATTTCATGAATTGCAATTGGCCACTGCTTTTACATGTTTGATGATATTGTTCATAATTCGAGAGATGAGTTCAATATTAGGTCTTTAATATTTGACACAATTTATTTGCTTGAATCGAGAGATTAGTAGATAGTTGTGAGGATTTTGGGTCTTTTAATCTTTTTGGAGTTGAATTGCATGTGTTGAGTGGAGACGCTAATATATGTGATTTAATCTACGGTTTTATCGATCTTGAGAAGGACGATAGGCTAATTTCGTGATCATCTTATAGGGTAAATAAAGAAAATAGTTAATTGTGATATATCTGAAGGAATCCAACTGTTAATTGAACCCATAGTCTTAGAATCTACCATTCCCATATATTCTTCTCAAGTGTTTTTCAAGTTGTTTTCTTATTCTTGCTTTATTTGCTTTGATTTATTTCCTTAGTTTAGTTAATCCATCTAATATTCCATCGTCTAAATAAAATTGGCACTATCATAATCTAGTAATTGATTAATTGGTTGTTTGGTCTCTTGGGATACGACCTTGCTTGCCACATACTACGAGCGAAGCCGTACACTTGCGGTCGAGCTTTAAGAATATAGGCGAACATCGACCGGTCCATTTTATCGTGTTTTGTGCATTTTTATTCTCGTATTGTGTTTTTGCAGTTCGACGTACTTTTTTTGTCTTTTTTTGTGTTGATTAGGTCCATCATTACTATGTTTGGTGAAACGAGCCATTTTTGAAATATTTTCGAGCCGTCCGAACCATGTCCGAGCCACGCGAACCATTTCTGAGTTGTTCCAAGCATAGTTATTAAGTGCGTGGTGATATGGATTTACGCATCTCAAGACGAGGAGAACAAGATTTGAGAAGCGTGGGTCAAAGTTTCAAGTCAATCGAATAAGTGTGCGAGAAATTAGAGCCTTTTTCAAGTCAAGCCATAGTCACCGGGACAAAATTCTGAGCCCAGCACTCAGCCCTCCAGAATTCGAGCCCTCGAAATCTATTTTCGCTAGCTACTGCAAACTCGCAAGCTAGGAGCCGGCCAGACACTAGAATTCGAGCCCTCGAAATCATGGCCTATCCCGCGAACAGCTCGTATCCCTCGAGTTCAAGCTAGGAGCCGGCTAGACACTAGAATTTGAGCCCTTGAAATCATGGCATATCCCGCGAACAGCTCGTATTCCTCGAGTTCATCCTTACCAGCGAAAATAACTAGCGAAAATGAAGATCTATCCAGCGAGTTCGGCCTATCTAGCGAGTTTTCTTCATTTAATGTATGTGTTTTAGTGTGTGTTTGTGGTGTAGCTATAAATAGACATTGTGCTTTGTATTTTGAGAACAATTTGTCATTTGCTAAATTTTTCTTTTTAGTTTTTCCTCTCTTATCTCTCTAGTTTTCTTTCTTCTCTAAGAGCTCCAAGATCCTATTTTTATTGTAATATTTCTCCATCAAAATTACAACTTTTCGGCTTATTTCTTCTCGTGGATGCATTAAAGACTTGGAAACTTCGTTTACAAGGTCCATGATTTCGTGAGTCTTGCTTCGTTTACAAGGTCCATGAATTATGCGACGTTTATTTGTCGCAATTATGTGTGTCGCATAATAGAAAATTTCCAAAAACAATTTTTGTTTAAATAAATTCTTCGATTATACTATGAATATTGTGCGGTTTGTATGCGAAACTGTTTCGACTAATTATCGCAGGTTCATTAGCCTAAACTGTTGAATTTTCCAAGAAGTAAATTCTACAAAAAAAAACTTAAATATACGACGTTTGTATTTCGACTAATTGTCGCAGGTTCATTAGCCTAAACTACGTGTTATGCGTTTGTTGTGCGTAATATTTTCGACTAATAGTCTCAGGTTCATTTCGCCTAAACAAGAATTTTCAAAAAATTAAATTCTAAAAAAAAAATATTATGCAACAACTAGGCGAATAATACGCGACGTTTGTATTTCGCAGAATAGAAAATTTCCAAAAGAAATTAAAAAAAAATAAATTATTCTTCATTTATACTACACGAGTGTTTCGCAATGTGTGTTGCACAATAGAAAATTTCCAAAAATATTTTTTTTTCTTACACCAACTAGGCGAATAAATTCGAAGTTTGTATTTCGCAGGATAAAAGATCGAACATAAATCCCTACACTACTACTTTTACAGTGGCTTCAACCCCAGCCGATTACAAAGTTAAAAAAAAAAAAAAAAAAAAAAAAAAAAAAAAACTCGAAGGACCAGCCAAGCCTAAAAAAAAGCTAGGACGAGGGAGCCGACGATCTACCACAGCACTCAGACTCCAGAAAGAGGAGTTGTAGGTGGAGCTTGTTTATGGAGTTCCATGTAGAACTCCAGCACGAGATCGGCCACGACCACCACGCTCTCAACCGATGGGCTCTGACAGGTTCGGGGAAAAACTCCTTCGATACCAACCACCTTTCTCTGTCAGGAAAACCTGGCCGACCACAACCTAGAGAGGTTGAGGCCAGCATTGCCTCTGACAGAGGGCCGGGCCGTTACGCCCCGGCCGCCAACGCGTGCCGTTCCGACCTTCAACCTTCTCATAGTTTATCCGGCAATACCCGGTATTCATCGTCGCTGTCTCGGCATATATGTTTCCTGCCGGGGCCACGTTAATAAAGTTGGAT